AATTTATATAATGGCAATTTCGATGCGTGCACAAGAAACCAAATTCATTCATACGATGTCGGATTATATTGAGTATAAAAAAAAAAAAATGAAAAAATAAAAAAAAATTTAAAAAAAAATAAAACAAAGAGAAACATATACGTCAGATCAACACGTTTTTCATTAATCATTCGTTGTCTGCATAACACAACGTTGATGAATAAACATATGCTTAACTTTATTTTTGTTTTTGGCACAAATTTTACAAAACAAATCTAAATACTTTGATAATCTCTACATATATATGAGATGACTTTTCCTAAATTAAAATTTTTCATATTTTATAATGCTATTCACCATCTACAGCTTTCTATTATTGTTGCTTGATATCTACTTTTCTTTAATCACTGACACGTATTTAATTTACCAAATAATCGAACTTACGGGCGTAACAAATGTCAGAGGAGTTTTCACATTTCTCTATCAAGTCTTTTAAGATTTTTATAATATATTTCCTTGCATATGAATGGCTTTACGAATACGACGATAAGATAACGTGAGAAAAGTTGTGCGTAAAGTAAATTAAATTCAATTTAGACAATGTTTAACTAAGAAAGCAAAAAAAAAAAAAGAAGGAAAATGAGACAAACGTTAGTGTGCCAAGTGAAAAAGTAAAATTGTCGACAAACAGAAATAAAGGAGCGTACTCCAAGCCACTTTTCATTTGTTTCTTTTCAATATGCATACATTTTCGCCGACTTATCATCGATACGCACATTATCAAATACCGTCAGTTGAGAAATTCATTAAAAATTTAACGAAAAATTTTTTCCTTAGTTTCGCTTCCTTGAATGGGAATGGGAAGTAGTGTTCTTGTCTCATATAAATCATAGAGGGAGGCTTTATATGATTCGCTTCCTATCTACTGCGATATGAAATTTAATTCTCTTGGTAGATGCGACCAAGCGTACCGATAGCAAAGTCTAACATTTTCCAGTTTATTCTTATTTAGGGTTCTTTACCACAGACATGCTATGTGTTAAACCCTTCATTATGTGTGTTAGAGAGTACGTTAAGTATGCGCAAACGCACCCAACACAATCAAAGATTTCAAATAAATCAAAATGTCTGCCTGCCTGTCCTTCTTCCCATCTGCCGTCTATCCATGCGGTGATGCGTTCAACGTACACGTCGTATCAATTAATAATCAGAAGGTGGCAAAGTGGTCCAAGTTTTTCGCATACATATTACAGAAAGACTGGGACAACGATGTGGAAATAAGAAGAAGAACAGAAATGGCTAGATCAACGGACACGTATTACTTCGTCTTCGTTTCACGAAATGCCTCGTATGGTCGATGATTGTGTCTTGATGCCTTTGAGATATAGTGTATGAACTCCTAAACATAATAATGGAAGGCTGTAACGAAGTGAGTAGAGGCTTGGGTAGAAAACAAATATTGTGGCTGCGTAATATTTGAAAATGGACAGGGCCGAGAAACGTTGGTGAAAGTATACCGAGAAGATTTTCGTCCTTTAGTTGATAGTATAACTTTGGCAATAATACTATGTAAAAATGTGATCACCTATATCCAGTAAAAAGAAGAAGAAGAAATTTCATCGCATTCACAGATGAAATTTTATATTGTTTTGTTTGGCGACAGCACGAAATGTGTCAAATGACACTTCTTTTCCTCGTTGATCTACTCAGTCGTTTGACTGTCTAGTTTTTTAATTGCCGTTCTGTTTGTTGATTCGATCACCCCTAGGTATGTTTGTATTGTTAGTGCCGTAAACAACTGCTCGTTCATATATCCGTCCGTCCGATTGTCCATTGTTTCATTCCCTGTAAACGCACAACACCGAAATAGAAAACTGAACTTTCTTATATAGATCGGTGTCACAGATCAGGCATGACGATGTGCGTATCTTCGTTATCTGCGTAAGGTGAAAAAGTAGATAATACCTAAACAAAAGGTCAGTTTTGATTTTTTTATATCATACGACCAGGAACTTTAGCAGGCCTTAAAATATGAAATCGAAACGAAAAAACTTTTTACGATCATGCAAAGATAATCCGAGTCCGTTAACAGGCATAGCATTACTAATTTCAAATCATTTTGCAAGTGAGATGATTTTCGTACCTATTTTTCTTATTTTGTATATAAAAAATTTCAAATAAGCAATGATCGTTATTTGAAAGGAAATGTTATGCTTTTGATTTTAGTTTGTGCTCAGTGAATTATTTCTTGCATTTATCCTGCAGCTCTAATTGCGGTCAAAGTTCTGTATATTGATTGATAATTTGCCAACTATTTGTATGGAAGAAAGTTTATTTCATCTTATTTTGTAATTTTGCTATGTTTGTCTTTGAATTTTGTTGCGGTTTTTGTGGTTTTAGGGCCACAACTGATTCCATCATTTCATTTTTTCATTTTACATAACTCTATTAACAAATCTTGCATCAACTAAGCATTTAAGTAAAATAAATGTTTTATCAAGAAGTAAATCATTTTGCTGCAGGTTAAGATGCTTCTGTTTTATCAAATATGGTATAAATTGTGTTTACTTTATTTTCAGGTATTTCCACTCAATGGATTGTTGAAAATTATAAGCGAACACAAACTAGTACAACTTAAACAACTAACTAAAAGTTAAACAATATTTTTCTAATTCAATTATTTACATTTAGTTGAATTTGATAAATTCTTTAGGTTTTTGTATTTAAGTAAAGGTGGGGATCTGAATTCCTGAATAGGTAATATTCTACGCTTTTGTTGCTTACTTTAATACACTCACTCACTCACTCACTCACTCACTCGTTCACTCATACAATGTACGAAAGTGTACCCGTGTGTATGAGTTAGTTAGCAATTCATTTGTACAAAACTTTTCGAGTTTATAAACATACAGCATAGTCATCTATACCTTTCTCTATACATACCTCTCTCTATACATATATTGTTATATGCTGCGTATGTAAAGTAGAATTGTCTCTTATGTAACAAAATATTTATATGAACTTTTCTATAATAAAAGAAACTTTTTGTTTTTCTCCAGTAACCAAAGTTCTTTTCTGTTCCTTTAGTTTATTGCAAATTGTACGCTTAAATTATTTATAATCTAAAAAATATTGAGCTTTAATCATTAACATTAAAATTGAATATTAACTGATGATATCTTTATGATTAAGCTCAATATTTTTTCAAATTTATTGACTATTATATATGTGGGTATGTGGTTATGTGGTCGCTACATATAGATATGATAGAAAGAAAAGTTTTTGGTTTTATGTTAATCTGTTAGTTAGATATATGAGTTTTGATTTTTCTCACAGTCCAATTAAAGATAAATGAAGCATTACATCTATACGAAAAGTTTTATTATACTTTATTGCACTTTCGAAAGAATTTTAGTTGGCTTTGTTGCGCACCAAGCGCAATCATATACAGATAATTAGCAAGCTTTAGTAAATGTCTATACATTTTTTTTTTATTCTTTTGTATTTTTTGTATTTTTTGTATTTTTTTATTAACATTCTTTAAATACGAAATAATAAATATTTTACAAGCAATTATCCTCTTAATAATCATTTTAATATTAAAACAAGAGTTGATGTTTGCTTTGAAAGCATAGTTAATCTATCATTTCATGCAATTTAAAACAGTTGATGACAGAACTGTTTTGTTATAACTTTGCTGTTTGGAAAATAATATGAAACAAACAAACGAAGAATGCATTTACAAGTAATAATATCAAGCATTCAGCTATAAAATTCAAACCACCATAAAGTGTTGTGGATGGTTAAAATATATATATCATACATATGCAGAGAGAAGCCAAGTCAAAGGTTTTCAATAATTTTTGCTTTTTGCAGGGCCTTTTTATAATAGTGCAGGTTTTGCTCGAAATAAGTTAAACTCATCGGCTTTTTCCAGAATGTGGAAAACTTATAGGAGAAGCTCATCAGTTAGAGGCATTTTGTGTTAACGACGATTGGTAATATGAAGAGTGTTGAGATTCTGGAGTCAATTGCGTGAACTCACGTTTTATTCCCTTGACTTTTACAATGATTCTGCCGTCATTACAATCCCGTCGCTGCCACAATTTTGTGCTTGCTTCTCAAAAAATAGTGTCATATAGATGTCAGTCTTCACCCATCCCTATGTCGACACTAGCTTAACATTATTTAAACAGTTTTGCGGAGATTAAACGAAAACACTGATTTGAGGGCGCCAGCTTTAACCTATCCGGTAAACGCATTATTTGTTATCAGCTTAATTCGCTCAATTTCTGATCGTTCGTAGAAAATCCATCAATTATGCGTCCCACATTTTGATAGTTCACTTCTTCTTCTTATCCTCTTGAACGCTAAGATACGATCTGGTCGCTTCTCTTTCGAACCGTAACATATCATAATGCTAATTATCTATGATGAACTATGCGTTCAAAATCTGACAGAACGTTCTCGCGTTACAATAAAGTCTTGGCGAAGTCTCTTCTTGGCTTGGCGCAACAATCTTTCTAAAGATGATTTCTAATCGCTTGAAAGACAACTGCCAAGTTTTCCCAAAAGCTATTGAAATGAAGTTTAAACAATAGATTGGCGCTTGAAGGAAATTGAGTCGAGAATTGCAAATGCACGCTAATCATATAAAAAATATTACTTTAATCAGGTCCATCGAGACTGTTTAGTAGTGTACACTTGCTAAATGAAAACTCTTTATATTATTAATTTCTTATTGAAATACAAAATATTTATAATTGTTTTATAATTAAAAGTCTAAATGTTACTAATAGTTGCGTTGGGCAATAAATAGGAAAAAACCTATTTACGAATTTTGGCAAAAATTTAAAATTTTCTTTAATTCACAAAACATCAACTTTTTAAAATGTAATTGCGGGGCCCTGCGGTTAGCGGCCGCACAATTCAGTTTACTATTTAGTATTCTTACCGACCTATATGAATTTTGTTTTTATCAATTTCCACGTTTATTTTGCAATTCTCTTTTGTCTCTTTAGTGTTGTCTGCTGTGGCTATTGTGGTGGTGGCACAACAACTAAAAGCCAATCAAGAGGATCCGTGCAAAGTGAAAGGTCGTGTGGTGGGTGATGTGACTCATTGCGATCGCTATTGGGACTGTGTCAATAATCAACCGGAATTGTACGATTGTCCGAATGGTCTCGTCTTTGCCGGTAAACATCGCGGTGTAACGGAAGGCTGCGATTATCCATGGCGTGCCAACTATTGCGATGGCAAACAATTAGCAAGTGAGTATTTTGGGGTTTGTTTTTCTCTCTTTTTTTTTTTTATTTTCCATAGGTTTTCCTTTTATTTTCTTTCGTACGTATGCATGCTTGTGATGAGATACGTAAGTGCAAAAATGTGTGCACAAAAATCCATTGTATTAAAGTTCAGCTCTATCTAAAGTTCAATAGTGTCAGGTGTATTTTAATTTTTCTTTAATTCTCTTTCATTGTTAGTTACAATAACAGCAAAACATTTTCAATGGTATACTAATTGATATGTGTGCTTGAAATGCACGTTAGTGATATGTAAAATATTTAAGCTATTCTTTGATTATCGTCACAGAATATTATGACAATTTAATATAGAATTTGTTGTTGAAAATGATTTAAAAAAAAAAAATTTTAAATACATATATAACGCTTTAACCAGTATATATGTATATATATATGTATTTATATATATATACATAGTCTATATATATTTTAGTCAAAACAACAAGGGCTAATATTATACCTTCTGCTGATATTCTGAAATTGAAAGTAATCGACAATCGAATGGAATTTCCGATAGTTAATCTATATTAACAAGCTCTTTAATGAGTATCCTTTTGAAAATAATTGTTTCAACTATTCCTCTACTTCGTGACGTTGAAATTCATCAGAAAAGATAAGAGAATAGGTTAATGTCTTAACTGAATGAAAGCCTTAAGTATAGCCTATTTTATGGTAAAAATAAGTGAAAGCATATTAGCGGGCAGTGGCCCAACATTCAATACTCCAAACCACTTTGCTTAATACTTTTATTTACATGACGTATTTTCAAACAAAAAAAAAACCTATTATACGGGAAATCGTCGAAAAGGCGAGCCCGTCAAAATTCTTTTTAATAGTACTGGTTTCTGTATTGATATATGTCGGTGTTCAAATTTCCTCACAATAATAGCGGCCTGCATGTATTTTGATCGCGTCCCTTCTATTGGTGAAAATATTAACATCTTCATATAAAATAACATTTAGTCTTATTGAGTGATTCTCGCGTATACAGATGCTAATCATGGAAAGCTCAAAATTGCATTTTCGACATTCGTTACTTTTGTTTTTTCATTTGAAGAAATCCATTGCCGAAAGCCAATAAACACTTTTAGAAACCTATGGTGATGCTGCTCCACCATATCCCAATTGTCAGTTTTGGTTTCAACAGTTTAGAAGTGATGATATTGATGTCAATGACAAAAAACGTCCAGATAGGAATAGAAAGGTGTGCTGTACTACGGGCTGTTAAGACCGGATGCAGCTGTTACTGCAGATGTTTATCGACGTCAATTGAAAAAATTGGATGTATTGTTGCAAAAAAGACTAGCAATAGCGGCTAACAGACGCAAGAGTTTTCAAGGATACACTGTTACAGCTTGAACGGCATGGCTTCGCTGGTATACGGTTTGGAAATCCTGAAGAAGTTCGAAAATGGCTCGATGATTGCATTGCTGCCAAACCAATATCGTTCCTTCGACCCAATAAACATCGTAGTAATTTTTCTCAATAAATACTTTCTTCAAATAAACAAATTATTAAAATATATGCAAGCATCTAAGATATTAAAAATGGCGACTTTTATGCCGATTATTCGAATACAACGGACAAGAGGGAAGACAGACAGAGAAACTTGTATCGATTCAAAATCAATTTCGAGATCTATCGATATAGTAAATGGATAGATCCATCTCAAGTCCGTCTAGGTGTTGTATGCATCCATATAAACTTCATTGAAAAAATATTCGGATTTTTACACATTTTTTTTTTTTAATATAACCTGAAATTGACAAACAGTTATTATAACTACTCCCCTTTGCTTGCTCTAATCGCTGCCTATAATATGTAATAGCAACACGAATCGGAATGGTGTTATAGCGCTTGCATTAACGCTCTTAGCTGAAAATGAAACATTAAGCTTAAAAATACGCAAAACACCCTCGAAACTCTGCAATTAAGTCAGAGTCTAAGAAGATTTGAATGAACAACAAACCAAATAACATATATTAGGACTTACATATGAGCTCACCAGAAGCTGTTGTTTTTTAAAAAGGAAAACTACTGCAAGATCCAGATAATGTCACAGCAAAATTTGTAATCGTCTTTTCTTGCCGGCGATATTGCACTACTCGCTGCGTTCGCTAACATTTTATTCGTTACCTATATATCTGATACATGTTCACTTCTTGAGCCGTTAGCTCGCGAGGTAAGCAAGCGGACGTTTTGATTTATTGACTTTCTTCTTTCACGGCGTCTGTCGCTCATTCCGCATTTTGAGGAGAGAGAGAGAACGGCATCAAAAATTCATAATCATTTTTTTCATTGATAAAATTTAGCCCAGTTTGTCCTACGGATATACATAAATGTCTTCTTAAGCTATCGTTACACATTTCAAGTTTAATTAGAACGACACGGCACTCTACAATGACACTCTACCATCGTAAGCAACACGGCGGTGTGCTATCTGTTATGCATATCTGTAAAGTATTGAGTTTTATAATCTTGTTGTGGGACTGTCTACACGCAGAGTAAGTGAATGGTGTAAAATTTTAAAGTAAGAATGATAGCAATATTATCATGATCGCTCTCTTATAAGTTAACTGCACGCGGAGAAGAGTGCAAAAGCCGTCAGTTAAGAAATCAAATTGTGCTTTTAGCACATGGATGAATTTCGCACCAGCGACTTATTTATTGATTTCTTTTCAAATTTATTCGATTTATATAACATTTTTTTGTTACCGCAGTTTACCTAATTCGCCTTATGTGAACAAAAATTATTATGTAGTTTACAGTATAATTATCTTAATATTATGGTAACTTAATCCATACAGATGGCTATCAGCTAATGGGGTTCATTGCATTTAATTGTATTGGCTAAGAATTTAGAATAAATGTTCTACGCTTGGTCTGCATTTGCATGTTAAATTAGAGTAGTAGGGAAGGCTGTCGATTACCTCTCGGCAATATTAACAATCAAAATTGTCGGCCCGATCGTAATCTGCGTTAGCATTCCATAGCATTCTTTTTTATGCGCACACTTGAACTTTTCATGATGGTCTGTCTTTCCGAAATTCTCGCGAAATCCCTTCATTAATCGTACTACTCTAGAAAGTAGCGATTTGCAAATGCCATGCGTGCACATCCCTAGTTTGCATTCAATTCAAATTCATGAACGAAAATTGAACTGAAAGTTAATTAAAGTGTTTAAGATTCACTTCAGGGCAAAGCTGCCTTACTTATTCTATTTATGATTTATCAAAATTTTAAGGTACATACGTACACGCACAGATACATAGATATGAGTGTACAACGTCATTTCAAACTTACGAATCCACTGTCAATGCTTTGCTGCCATTCACTTGAGTCTGTGTGATCAGAAGAAAAACATATTGAATTCTTTCAATTTAAGCCAAATTGGTTAATATACCGAATGGCCAAAAAAAGAAGGCAGAAACAACAACGGCAGCAACAAATATTTCAGATTCTATTAAACACAATTTATGGACGACAATACCAAAGCAACCAGGCAACATGTACAGATACAAACAATAACAACATATGTATGTATGTTTGTATATATGTATAAATGTATATATATATATATATATATATGTATATATCGAGCATTGAGTAGTCGAAATACCAGAGCATTTCAATTTAGGCATGATTTTATGTTCGTTTACATGTTGTTGCTGCTGTTTTTGTTATTGTTATTGTTGTGTTTGCCGTTGTCGCTGTTACTGTACACGTATTTCAGTACTTCTTGGTTTCAATTTGCATCAAATGGTTGGCCTAAAGATTTCTTATGTGTGCGTGATGCTATTTACTTTACCTCACCTTTGTTGGCACTATATAATAGCAGAGCACAGTACGGTGAATTGAGTGCAGTGGCCGGTGTATACTTCATCTTGTTGTAATCTCTGTTGTTTGAATTAATTGCGAATGTTTTTTCGTTCGTTTTTTTTATTTTTTGTTTTTTTTTTTTCTTTTTTGTTTTCAGCAGCTGCAGTTACTGTTCTCGTTGTTAATATGGTTGTTGTTGCAGTTGTTTATTTGTTTGTTTATGCTTCTTTTTTCTTTTGCATCTTTCAACAGATGGTCCAATTTCCACAGAACATTGCGACTGGTTATATGGCATATTTGGTCATGAAACATCATGTACACGTTACTGGACTTGTTGGAATGGTACAGCAACTGAGCAATTGTGTATCGGCGGTTTGTTATACAATGAAAATGCACACAGTTGCGATTGGCCGGAAAATGTCGATGGTTGTCAAAAGCATCGTAAGTATGGTAGACATTAGACCAAGTAACAGCTATCCGTTCAGAGATGCAATCTAATATACATATACATACATATATGTTTATATTAGCCATGATTATGAGGTTTAACTTTTGAATTTGGTTATTACAAGAGTTGTCTTAACATCCATGATGAACTCAAATAAATTGAAACAAAAAAAAAAAAAAAAAAAAAAAAAAAAAAAAAAAAAAAAAAAAATTATTATTATTTGAATATTTTGAATATGAAATGTGTTTGTTGGCAAATGTTTGAGTTTTTGTTAATTATCACTTAGAGTAGACTTGGATAGATTTATATATATATATATATATGAAAAAAGTTTCGTAATAATTTCACAATAATAGCGCCGATGAATGTAGGAAATTTTATATAAAACAACTTTTGATTACCGACATTGATTTATCGGCTTTATTATGCTTTTATATACGCACATTAACATTCATATATGCCTGTTTGTAATAGTTCTCTCGTTTTGCTTTTCTTTCTTTTTTTTTTTTTTTTTGTTTTTTTTTTTTTTTTTTTGTTTGCTGTTTGTTCCACTTTAGCTTTGTGCAATGATGACGCCAATGGTAATGTACCATTGGGTAAATCATGCAATCGCTATTGGCAATGTCAGGGTGGCTATCCACGTTTGCAACGTTGTCCAGCCATGTTAGTTTTCGATAGGCATTCGTTGCGTTGCGTCGTACCACCAACAGAAGAATGCGACATACCAACAACACCCCTGCCACTAGACGGCGAAATTGAAAACAATGTCAACGGTGGTGGACAACTGGCGAAAGACGAACAAGAACGCAAGGTAAGTACCGTAAAACTTAAATCAAATAGGCGGGCAACAGGAAAAGGTAATCCGCAGTTTGTATATATATTTATATATATGTGTATATATACACATACGTATAGATAAATAAATATATATATATATATATATATTTGTATGCATATCTACAGTCACTACAATCAATGTAAAAGTTAGAGCAAATAGTCCAAGTTGTCGCGAAGAAAGAAACTTCTTCTATATAAGCGGCACGGGCGGCGTATTAGAAGAAAATATTTATAATGTTTTCGTAAAAAAATGGAACATTTGTCATTGACAGAACCCGGCTATCTATGTGCCGATATTGAAGGTGCCTAGCGTATTTCAGGACTCTTAACATACGTAAGTAATCTCCCCGGGAACATCTGGCCTGAAGGAAGGAAGGAAGGATATGAAACTCAAAATTCTTAAAACCATCACAATTTCGGGAATCGTTGTGGATGACGACAGTTCTTTGTTCTCGGTCGAAAACTTTTATTTTTTAATCAAAAAAAAAAAAAGACTTCTATATGCCGAGCCTTCAGAGGGTCTCACCTTTTCGAAGAGACATTGTATCTATGCCGAATTTATGCCGCCATAGATTGCCCTTTACACATAATGTAAGTCTTATGGAGAAGAGCTTTCGCAGACAAGTTGACATACCAGATCTCAGCAGGTATTTAAGTTGCAATGATCCTTATGGATATTAGAAGGCTATCATCGACGATGCTTTGGATAAATCAAGCATTTCTAGCAATGTCCAAATATCCCTTGTATTTTCTTGTTTTCTTCTTCTGCATTTTATAAAAGTGTCTGCGTCGCCAATTGACACTTTCAGTATGCTACGAGCATCATTTACGAATTATTAACTGGAATTAAGAAATCCGGTAATATCTCGCAATGTGTGTTTTGCGCTTACGATAATTGCGCGAGTGCTAATTCGTTGGGCTACTTTACAGTGCTCTATGAAGAAAACTAAATAAATTTTGTTTTTTTAGAAATTACAGTCACATTTATGAGAGTCTTTTAATGCCTTATGACTGACTATCTTGACATTTAGCTAATGACGTTGTTTGCCTGTGAGTTCGAAAATATTATTAAGATTTGGTTGACGGTGACGTGAAAGGTTATAGTTTTGAAATGTTATGAAAATTTCGAAAACTCATTTTGAACAGTTGAACGCAAGTTCCGGAACTTTTCAGCAAATAAAGTAGCAGACATCTAAGTACATATAACATGCATTCATTTCCTTTATGTATTAAGAGGAGTGCAGTAAGTAGTGATTTATGTTGTTTATGTGGATTTTTAGACTATTAATATGCTTGTTGCTGTATGTACACTTAACACAAATTTACATATGTATATACATATTTTATATACGCTATTATATATGTATATATATATATGCATACATATATATATATATATAGCTATAGATATATATATATAGATATATATATATACATACATATATATTGCTGGCATGTCTGCACATAAAACTATAGTTGCTTGTATTAGCATATTTGTATTCCTTTGTTTATGTGGCCACGAGAAAATTTACATTTACCCGAAATTGTTTAGTGATTAATTGTTAGTTTGCATTGTGGGCGTTTTTCGTTGTTATTGAGCTTGTTGTTATTTTTGTTAATGCTGTTGCTGCCATTTTTCTTTACTTTACAAAATTTGTTTATGTTTGTATAGAGCGTTCTGCTCATTTTTATAAACAAATGTTTTAACATTTGTGGGTTTAGTTTATTGTCTGAAAGGTTTCATGTGAAAATTTTTGTTTTTTTTTTTCTTTGCGGTCAAGGAATTTAAATACGAAGTAATAGAGTTATTTATCACTTTTTAACATTTTATTTTTTAGACAATGAATGAAGTGTTGATATACATATATTATCATGTATTTGATATGTGTCCCAAACAATTGATATTAATGGCAAACATTGCTAACTGTAATCACAAGAATTAATTAAAATCATCAATTCAAACAAAAAAAAAAAAAAAAGAATCCTCAATAAGGTAAATGTTGAAGTGTGTGTCTATTTTCGCATTGAAAAGATATAATTTATAAATCCTCATACAGTGAATGGTTAAAACTAATAAAGAAGTCCAAAAATAGACATAGCTCCACACAGTGTCCTTTGGAACACTTACATATATTATTTATATTAATGAAGGAACGCAATCATAGCTAAATTTAAATATTTTGAAATTAATTTTAAAATATAAAAAACTCCCCTTGACTTTAGTCAAACATTTTCAGAGAAAAAGTAAGAAAATCTGATCAAAATTTTTTCAACTTTTCAACCACTTGTATAAGTGCCTTATTCTCCCCTCAATAGAGTACACCAGTTAGTTTTCGTGGGTTCAAATCTCAAGCCCGACAGATTTTAACCATAGTGGGTGCTCGGAGTCGGTAAAGGCATAAAGGTACTTACTAACTGGGCACACAGGAACTACGTTGCGGCCACCGCCTTTCTTTCTTCACTCACCTCATAGACCCTCGCGGTCTTACATGAATAAAGGGCATCCACTGAGCCGCTCAATGAGCTCTCTGGGTCAATTTACGGGGAGATTAATCACACAAACCTAGTAACGGCCTAGTTTTATTTACGAAAAGCTTGCTGCTCAAATTGGACCGGAATCTTTGATCCAATAGAACACATTTCTTTCTTCTTGAGTCAATCCATAATGCACTCAGCACTGAGAATAATAACTTCTAATCTTTTGTTTGTCAAGTTGAATGTCATAGAATTGAAGAAGCATCACATAAGGAAATTATCTTAATCGGATTGAGGGACATAATAGTTCGATTCCAAACTGGGAGAGCATTCTAGCGTAATGTTAACAAAGTACTTTAAGGAGGCTGGCTATTTAATAAGAGGAGTTTATTGGCAATTGTTATTTATTTATTTATTTTTTTTAGATGAAAAGAACGATGATAGAATGATAACATTCAAGGACTTTATTAAACACACATTTAAGCATTAAAAATCTATACATATATATTCGAAAAATATTAAAAAAAGTCCACACTAGAGACATTTTCAAGTTAAGGGACTTGGTGCACTATGCGTTATTTGGGTAAAATTCGAATAAAAAAAACAAACATAATAAAAATTATTTAACCTCAATACACATAGTTAGGAGAATTTTAAAAATAGAAATTTTTGTATGACCGGCTAGTGTTTAAGTGAGAGAGATCAATTTCTGAACAAAATAAAATCAAACTAAGCTAAAATTGATTTATCCTCGATTTGCTTTAATAAGCAAGATACTGTAAATATGTCGAATGATAAGAACGAAGAAAATTGTAGGAGTTCTTGCATTGGGCTGGTTTGGAGAATCATATTTCGAGGTGAAAGCTTTTGATGTTTGTAATGTTTTATTGACGTATTTTCTGGTTATTATTTGCGCTATTAGGGTGAATGGCAAGAGCTGTGTTTTCGCCCTCATTCTCTTTTCTCGATGAGTTGTATTTGTCAAAAACATATGTTGCATCGTTCAAAATTTAACATATTAATTAATTAAACAGTTAATTAAATAAAGAATTTTTTTTTTTTTAAATTAAAATAAAAAAAAAAACTATTTTAATTGATTAAAAATTATGAATTTAATATGTACTGTTAAATGATGAAATAAATGAATGAAAGTGTGTAATTCTTCAGAAGTATTTATAATCGGCACCAAATATTTCCCCATGAAAATTATGCCACTTATAATTTATGCCCTAGAACTTTGTACTCCCACCAATGCTTCGTGAATGACAAAATTTAGATTTTTAAATAAGCGCATAATAAGATATATATTTGCATTGAGGCGGTATGATCATTTTTTCTACGTTTTCCAAGTTGTTATTTTCCTAATTTTTTAAAAAAATTAGATTTCTGCTTAACCTTTACAATGTTATCATGCGGCCGAAGGAGCATTTTAGTCTCTTTTCTTTTAGGAGCTCAGTTCGCAATAAACATTTGTTGATTCTTTGAGTTACGCGCTCTTCCGTCAAATCCTTTCAATTATAAGAGCATACAATTCCCTGCCTAGGAATTTACAATAGTTTAGATGCTCTTACCTTCACTTGTAAACGTAAGCTTTTAATCTTTGCTGTTATTAGTGAGATTAGGAAATCTATATGCATGGTATGTGTTGTTTCTTTTCTTTTCAGCCAAGTTACCTTCTTGTTTCTTTTCCCTTTTTATTTTTGCCTTCAATTTTTTTCTCTTTTCCTTTAGATTGTTTAAAAGCATTTTATATTATTATGCTTTATTATTGCATCAATGGTAGATATTGTGATCAATAAGCGTCTATAAGAGACAATAAATCAAATAAATCGAACGGCTAAAAGGATTAATGCAGAGGCACTGAAGTCTTTCAAGTCCCTCTCAGTCCCATATCGTTTTTACTGCCTCTTGGCGACACTACACTACATTTTTTTTTTGCTCGGAGATGCTACTAATAAAACATAAATACGTTCAATAAACAGTTTTTGACGGACAATAATAGGCTGCAATTTTTCAGCACTATTTACCGATAGGTTGATGAAAAGCCAGAAATTTCGTGGAAAAAGTTTGTGTCAGATCAGCAATTTTTCTCCACATATTCAAAGAGATTCAAAGCATTTCTTAAGACAATAAAAGAAGTTTTTTCTGAAAAATGTAGAGTTCAATGATGTACAAGGCAAGTAGAATGGGTGCCTTGAAGAGCACATGAACTGGGTGTCATGGGATATTCATGATAGTTTGGAGTTGAGAGCCTTTTCCTCTCAACAAGTATGAAGCGCAATCGAACAAAAGAGGAACTTTTCATTTATTCGGTGAAAGGCGTAACAAAAATCAATTTGTAGCCCATCCGTTTGCAAGCAATCACAGAAGATCTTCAGATTGTACGCTCTATGTTAATGGACGTTCAGACTAACGCATAGATGCAGCTAAGGCCCTTTTTACGTTAATCGAGCAGACGTACGTTTGTTTGCCTTATAGACAGCATAATGCGTATTTCTA